CTATAAAGTGATTGGAAGACAGTTTCTCTTGCTTTGCATATTTTAAATATTAATAAATAGTAGAGTTAGGAAAATGAACCAAGGTTGTTTAAACTCTATAACATTTTGAATTTTTGCTTTTGGAATTAAGTATTGATAGGGGTGAATTAGTAAATTAATGTGTGAATAAGGTTTTGAATGATGGAATGTTATTTTAATTATTTGAAATGTTACATAAACAAGTTAGAGAGGAAGAATGCCGTTGGGAAGCAAAATGTATGAGCACGGTGAGGAGTTTCTTCATTGTGCCACTGCGGCTAATGTTGAATGCATTACAGCACATGGTGCAAAATTATGGGTTTAAATATGTGGCTTAGCTTGTGAGACCAGGAGGAAAAAGAGGAAAAGAGACACGAGAGAGAGGTGAAGAGGGGGAGGAGAGCTAGGGCAAGGATTTTCAGCCACCTAAGGAGGTTTTTTGACTTATTATTTATTAGATAAGTTTCATACCACCTTAACCTCTAATTCTACACTAATTTTTCTTAGTTTGAGCTAGTGAAAAATTGAATTTATAAGTTTTAAAAGGTTAATTTCTCACTTTATAGTAATAAAAATGCTCTTTAAAGCTAAACTAGAGTTTTGTGATTGGTTTGAGTTTAAACGAAAAAGTTTTGAAGTTATGGGATCAAATTAGTCAAATTTAAAGAGAGGAAATAGGTGAAATTTAAAAACAAGTGTGTTAATGCTAGCAAGGTGTGGTAATTGTGTGCAGTATGTGTGAATGGATTTAGATAAAGGAAATAAAAGGTTAAGGTGCTTAATTGTTATAATTGGTACTGTTAGTCAGTGTGATAATTAACATAAGGTATAAATTTTTATATAGATTTTCATGTGTAACGTGTTGAAATAGCAAAAAAAGTTTTGTATGAGCAAGTGTATCATGAGTAACATTTTTTAAGAATAGAAGGATTGAACTAATCATATAATTTGTTATGTTTATTGACCATTATAATTGTGTAAAAGTAAATGTGTAAATTATAACTTTGATGCTGGTGAGATTTCTGAATGCAATATCTTGCAACATGCATTGACTTTAGCATTAAAAGTGTTTTTGAGATGTTTATTAATTGTTAAAGCTTTTGAATGAAATTGATACAAATATACACACACACACACATATATGGTGTAAAATGTGAAAAAGTAGTGATTTATGCATGTGAACGGCATGATCACAGGAAGTAAGAGTTCATCCTGGGCATGTGTGGATGTGTGTATAAGGAAATGTGAATGAATAAATTCATATAATTGGACTGGCACCACGAGACATCTGGTGCAATAAATTATATTGGACTGGCACCATGAGACATTTGGTGTCGCATTATATTGGAACTGTTGCCAAGGGATATCCAGGGGGTCTAGCAACTCTGTAGTGCTAGAAAGAGTATGATTAGAAGTCAACGATATTTCTATCACAAATGTATGTGAAGAGAGAAATTATAGTCTGGAAGGGAGTATAATACCTTTGGTTGGATGTTTCTACCCTAAAAAAAATGCTCAGGTCAATATGTAATTAATTCATTAAAGCTTATAATTTCAAGTTGGGAAGCTTTGGAGGATTGATAAATAGATGATTATGTTAATGGTAGTAATTGTGTGAAAACATTTGAGAGAAACCGGCTATCACAAGTTTTGAGAGAAAGCTATGTTGCTGTCACGAATATGAAGATGGGAGAGGCTATCACAAGCTATTGTTGGAAACTTTCAATATATGAATTTTCCAAAACATATTGTGTTATTGTTTGAGTTTGACAATGGTTGGAGACTCTCTGTTATTGGTTGAATGAAGCATTTTCAATTTGATAAAAAAATAAATAAAAGATAAAAGGGTCTAAAACCAAAAAGATTGACTCCGAGCCTGCTATATCAAAAGTCGAGCTTTGAATATTAAAATTTTCGAGCTTAAAGAATTGTCCCTATTAGGCTCAAGCTTATTAAGGGCTAACTTTTTAGGGTCAGGCCAGCTCATTTTTTTTAGGTATAATAAATTATATTAATTAATAATTAACATTAAAAGAGGAGATTCAGGCGATGGCGCGATCACATTGAAAAAGAGAAAATGTATTTATTAATTTATTTGGTCGATGCAACAAGATTTTGTTGGTGGTTACGAAAAGGCCACAAGGTTTTGGAAAAAAGAAATATAATTTGATGTTTTAGAATCTCTATGCTATTTGCGCAGTTATGCCTTGGACTATGAGAATTAGGGGAAAAAATAAAATTGATTTTTTATTTTTTAAAATTAAATAATAAAATTATAACTAATTTATATATTTAATGCTTTCTTTGCCTTCGAATATTTTTTAATTTAAATGCCAGTTTTGTAATTTTTAATTAATTTATTTGCAATCTCTTACATGTATATTATTTTAAATATATTTCATCTGGTCTTATCTATGCGGTAAGGAGAGAATTTTTTTTGTCCTGTTCGCATGTCCCTTTGTTAAATTTTTAACACAAATTTTTCCTTATATCCTTCATTAAATATTGAAAAAGAAAAATATATTATTAAAATATATATATTTAAAAGGAGTAAATTTAAAAAAATCATTAAATTTTAAAATAGAATTAATGAGTTTTAATACTTTTATTGATTATGGTGAAACATGTTATAACATATAAGTGACTTATAAATATGACTATACAAGTATTAAATTAATTATTACCGGTTCAACTGTGATTTAACTATGGTTCAATCATTAACCCATAAATCACTGTCTTGTTTGGTTTAATGTACAATTTAATTTTTAAAATATTGTTCTATCACGTTAATTATATTAGAAAAAACATAACTTTTAGTCTCTATATTTTACTCACATTTTGTTATTAATCCTTTTACTTTTACTTTTTATTATTTTAAGTTCCTCCAAGTTTCTTATATTTTGTTTATGTAAAGATCTAAAATAATAAAAAACAAAAGTACGAGAATAAAAAGTACCCAAAAAAGTATAGAAATTGATAGCAAAATACGAGTAAAATACAAAGTTATGTTTTTTCATTATATTAATATTTAAATATATTCTTTCGATTTTATTTATAAATCACTTTCAATGTGTTTCAAGTGAATAAAAAAATTAAAGCTTATTAATTCTGTCTAAAAATGTAATAATTTCTCAATTTTGTTCATATTGAATATATATAGTTAACAATATATTTTTTATTTTCAACATTCAATGGACAATAAATAAAAAAATTTGTTATGAAAATGAGGTGATTTATAAATAGAATAAAAAAATCTTATCTTTCTCTACCTTATAAATATTTTATATTAAGGAGTGATATTGTAGTCAAAAAATAAATTTAGTGAGTTAACGACAGATTAATAGCCAAGCAGAGGAGAAAGTAATCTTGAAAACAAAAAAGAGATATACGCAATAGCTCCCTATTTACCTAGCTTCATATATTCAATATATTTTTATCCGATAAAATGAAGATAAATGAATTATAATATACTAGTAATATCAATAATAATAATTTATCATATAATAAATAATCTATAAAATATTTATATGTCTTGATTTAATTAAAAAAAATACCTTAAGAATATAAATTGAAGATAAGTATACCATTTTTTTCTTATATTAACCTTTTTATTTTAAAGATACTTTTGTATGTTTCTAAGATAAGGGAGTGTCTCTATAATTAAAACAGAATACAAGGAATGTCAAAAAAAATTATTATAATTAAAAATATTTTAAACTGTAAAATATAACTTCAAAATGCTAATTTTTTACCTTTAAAAATTGATCAAAATAATTCAAATATGGTTAAGTTTTTTTTTTGTTCTTTTCATTTCAAATTAAACATGGTTAAGTGGTATAATTTCAATACAGTTCACTTGTAGCATTTAATTAGGAGCTTGGACCAACACATAAAATTTGGAGTATAAATTAATACATTATGCACATTTTTAATTTTATTTTCTTAACAATAAACGGGGTTAAAAAATAAGAATTGCTCAGATCCAATGCCAGCTCACACGCCTGAGCCGATCGGAATTGCGCTAAACGTGTTTTTCTTGGTCACGTCGTTGAAGTACAAAACAGTATGTTTTGAGTCTTATGTTACATAAAATTTAAAATTAATTTTAATTTTTTTTCAAAATCTTTTTTAATCTTAAAAAAAAGTTGAAGGTAAAAATATATAGGTTTCATATATAATTTTTCTCTCAATTTTTTCTCTTTTTTATTTTTCTCTTATCAGCCAAGTAGGAGGAAAATATATTTTTTCTTCGCTTTTCCCTTTCTCTCCACTTTTCTCCCGCCAAGCAGAGAGTTGATTTTCCGAAAACTGTCATCATCTCTGAAGTTCATTTTATGCTCCATGCTCTTCTTTTCTCCTACAAATTTTGCTTTTTGTTTAGGACCTTCCTTCTCTTCATTTTCTCCCTCTCCGTTCTCTCTTCACTTTCCACCTCAACAATTAAATTTAGTTTTAAATAATTAAAATTTAATGTTACATAAAATTATTTTTTAATTACAATTTTAAACCTTAAATTATAATTTAGACAAAAACAATTATATTTAAAATTTATTTATTTTTTATTAATTTCACATTTTAATTTTTAAAATATTAAATTTTGATTGTTTAAAATTAAATTTAACAGTTGAGATGAGAAGCGGAGGAAAAATAAAAGAAAGAAAAAATAAAAAAAAGCCAAGTTAGATTACTTGAGTGCCAACAAAAAGCTCCTTCAGAAGTAACAAAGAAAGTAAAACTTCTTTCTTTTCTCTTCATTTTTTCTTAATTTTTTATTTTAATTATTAAATTCATTTTTGAATGGTTGAGATTTAATGATCTTAATTATTTAAAAATAAATTTAATAATTGAGGTGAGAAGTGAAAATGAAATGAAGAGAAAAGAAAATAGAGAGAAGTCTAAGTTTAACTCCGAGAGCGAGAGAAACGCAACAACAAATGTCAATGCCTTCATAGTCCAATGAGATGCGAACTCTTATGCAAGTAGAAAGTTCACGAGTACGGCTTGTAATTCCGTGTTCTTTGTGTTGCCCTTCTAGTTGAAAAAAGAAAAACGCAGCAAGGCAAAGTACAATACACAGAAGCAATGGGTTGAAGTTCCTCAAATTCAAGGTGATAATAGCAACGAATCAAGCAGAGTCATATTCCACACCCAAAGTCGATTGAAGCTTTTTCCCGTGATAGCTTTTCATGCATAGCCTCCCGCTCATTGATGGATCGGAACTGGACTGAGCTTCACAGGCACGACAAAGAAAACGTTGCGGCGAGAGATTCTCAACGATACAGTGAATTTCAGAATGGCAAATAAACAGCTGCTATTCAGCGCATCGAACGAACAACTAAGAAGAGCGACATGACGGATCGAGAGAGAAAAACCCGATAAAAACGAAGAACGATCCGATAAGTTGAGTTGCATGAACTAACGATCATTTGGGAGAATCATAGACCCCTAGCTCCATAATTTGATGAAGCAATTAATTTATAGACTACATCTATTCTATGGAGTTTCTCGAATCGCAGCCTGCAGGATCAGGGTAGATGAGCTGTCAAGTGTTGGGACCAGGGGTGCACAGCAACTTAGGGCTGGGTTGGGAAATCGGGACGCAAAACCATCAAAACGAAAAGAACTAATCATGATGTTTCCACCTACAAAGTCTGTTCTGTGTTTTTCTTCTCTTTAGATCTACGCCGTTAATTATCACTCTCTATGGCTGATTGCTGGTGATAACGTAATGGACCTTGTCGGCGAGTGGGGCCACGTGGCTTCATTCGATTGGATTGGGGCTTTATTAGTGCCCTAATCTGATAATCATTTTAAAGGTTCCGTGGAGATATTTATGCTAAATTGGGGAGTTAATTATGAGGCCATTTGCAGCGACCGGATAACAGCTGGCATCCTGCATCTAAACATCATTCTGTGCCTAACACGTTTCAATGGCTCCTCTTTCTCTCTCTCCTTTGTGGTCTGCGTCTGCTCCTTCTCGTCTTTTGTTTCACCGGCGAATCTTGGTTTGTCCTCCAGGATTCAGTCATGCTTCTGTTCCTGAAACGGAATCACTGTCGCCGTCGCCGTCGACATCGAATTTGACCCCGAAAGTTGTGGTCACCAGAGAGCGTGGCAAGAATGGCAAGCTTATCAGTGCTCTGGTACTTACTTCTCTGTCATCCCTTAGTTCACCATGAACCACTACTTGCTTCGCTGTTTGATGAACAATTTAGTTCCTCTATATTGCCGTAAGGCGTTTGATTTTAGGGTCTCATTGTAGCTTCCCGCATTATTGTGCTTGCTTCTCCTGTTATCCGGCCATGTTCTTCAAGGTTTACTCTGACTTATACAGAATATATTCGCGTTTTTGAAATGTTAACTGTCCACCATTCCGTCTTCAAGGTGTTTGATTAAAGGTGGAAAAGAATGGTAAATTTGATCATTTCCCTTTTCTTATTTTTCTAAATTCGTACGGCTTCTTTACTGGCTTTTCAAATTATTATTTCGCAAGTTACTAATACTTTAAGGCTTAAGCACGTTCTAGTAAATGTATAAATTATATATTATAAAGACAAAATATATGGACAATGACGTAGGTTCCTAAAATTATTAGAAACTACTTCTGATAATTGCTTTTATCCAATATAGTTTACGTTGAAAAGCTAATGTCGAAGTGCAAACAACTATAGTTTCTCACAATGTTGATCAGCGTAGCCTGGGTTTTAAGTCACTGTACTTACAAACTCGTTCTGTGTGAACTTTTAAGTTTATTCTCGTTCAGCTTCAGAAAGTTGACCTATTTATTTTAACTTCCTATATGACATTCGAGTCCTTGAAGTTTTCTAAGTACTTGATATTCGCTTCATCAGATCGGTGTTAACTTAAAAGGCTTGGGAGGATAACTAATTGAACGTAGACTACTGTTCTTAATTGGCTTGTCTTTCTAGCACAAATGAAGCCTAATCAATATCGTGTATTAACTTCATCATGGTCATTTATTTGTCTATCAGTTTATTTGTTTGTGTTTTTTCCGTCTTTCATTTCCTCCCAAAGAACAGAAGTTAGAAGCTAATAAAAGATTTCATCTCTAATTGATCTTTGCTTAAGATTTATAGGATCATTTCTGAATACATATCTGAAGCGGTAATGCATCAATTCTTAGGCTGTCAATCCTTTATATACAACCACTAACGCCATTTTGTTTTCCTGTTATTAGGATTTTAGATGACAGATGATCCTAATTTATGTCCCATATATTGTTTTATTATTATATATATTTTTTGTTTTTCTATCCTCTTCCATTGGGAAAATTTTGGTAAAATATTTTATGCACTAAGGTGATCAATTGATTATTTGGCCCTGACTGTCCCAGAATAACATTAAGTGGAATTAAAATGCTAACTAAAAATGCAAAGCTCCTCTTAGAAGATTTTCAAGTTGAATGAAACTAAAAGGGTAGTTTGATGTTGAGTGCAGAATAAACATAAAATCAATTGTTTGGAGTTTCCACTCATTGAGCACACTTTGGGACCTGACATGGATAGACTTGCTTCTGTATTAAGTGGTGAGTTTTATTGTGGACTCCATCTTTTTCATTGTGTGCCATTACCTCAATGACTGCATTTTTTTTTTATGACTGACATACTGATTTTTCAACCAAAGATAAACTTGACTTGATCTTTAACATATAAAATTTATTTGTATGGGTTGTGGCTGATCTAATTCAAACACGTGGCTCTATATGCTTTTTCTTTGGCATTGAGTTCCTGCATGTGTGCTTCTAGTACACTTCATTAGAGATTGGATGGGGAATTCCTGCTTTTAAATAGTATCGGCTATCTAGAATCTGGAAAGCATGGGGAATTTTGAATTTATGATTGTATAGTGATAGCCAACTCATATTACTACATGTGTTATGCATTTAGTAATGTGCCTCATCACTTGACACTGATTCATTTCTCGCCATTTTCCTCAATAATGGCAGATAATTCATTTGATTGGATTGTCATAACATCTCCTGAAGCAGGTTCAGTTTTCCTAGAGGCATGGAGGTAAGGTTAGGAGTTGCTAACTGAAGACAGACATTATTTATACATGAAGCAGTTCCCTTACATTTACCCAATTTATTGCACTCTTTATCATTGATCCTGTCTTTGGACTTTATATCTTCTCTCATTTTTCTTCTGCAAGTTTTAATGCCTTTTTTCCTTTCAATGTGTATTTATTGGCTTTACTTTGAATATCATATATGTAATATGTGAAATACTTAAAAACCATTTTTTGTTATCGTGTAACAATTGATCCAATTGCCTGTGATCTTTAATATCTATTGGATGTGATTCATGAATTGTCAAAGATGCCAATGTATGCCTTATCCAGCCTTGTTAATTTATAGGCTGTATAAATGGTTGACTTGGTTGATTCATTATTATAAATTCACTCCTTTGTTACAATCTTTAACGTTGTGGAACATTTTATTTCTTAATGAATTTTCTTAGTCTTATTTGTGGTCTTTAGAGCTGCTGGGGCCCCCCATGTCAAAATAAGCGTTGTTGGAGCTGGTACTGCAAGTGTTTTCAAGGAAGTCTCACTGTCATCAAAGCAGTCACTTGATGTTGCCTTTGCACCATCAAAAGGTATCTGGACATGCACGTAACCATAGGCTGAGTTAAAATTTTGCATTCGCACTGTATTATTCCCAATTTTGTTCCTTTCTGACTCTTAAAAGTATTTAAAGCATTCCATAAAAACACACGTGACAATGACTTCCAAGATGCATATGGAGAATATTACCTTGTTGAACTGTTAAAGATCATGAGCTTGTAGACTGGGGAGAGAGGAACTATGCTTTGCGTTTGTTATTCTGTGTGTAAGAGTAAGTGCATGTCTATTACTTTGGACAAAGCTGGAAAGTGAGTCTACACCACAATCTGCATTTTGATTTGTGGATGGTCTTTTTTTTTAAGTAGTTGTCTTGAAGAGAGAGAATATTTCATTCGCTTAGCTGGCATTTGAACCTTAATGATCTGAAAGTGATTCCCATTGTGTCTCTGATAAATTTCAGCAACAGGGAAGGTTTTGGCTACAGAGCTTCCAAAGGATGGAAAAAATTGCACCGTGTTGTATCCTGCTTCTGCAAAAGCTAGCAGTGAGATTGGTAAGTGAATAATTTTGGTTTCAATTTATTAATTTCATATAGTATTGCCATTTTAAAATTAAATTTTTTGTTTAATGATTATAATTGTAAAAGGCAATGGTATATTAATTGTCTGATATTTATGAATCAGAGGAAGGACTTTCTAACCGTGGATTTGATGTTACAAGGTTGAATACATACACAACGGTAAGTTGTTTTTCCTTGATTCGCCCATTCCTTAGTGAGAAAACATAGTTCAATTTAACTTCTTCCTTGCAGGTATTGGAGTATTTTATTTTCTAATGTTGTATCTCATCATTAGTTGACTGGATTGATTGTAAATTTAGTATTTTTACTTTTACTGATCCTGAAGTCCCAGTAAACTGTTTCATGGTTAAGTGGGTGGAAATTTTCTGGTGCTTTATGATCATTGTAGTTTGTAGGAAAATGTTACAATTGCATAAAGTCTAGACTGTTTCTAACTCTATACCCCTCATGTTTATTTATCTTGTGATAGAAGGAACAACACAGCTTCATACAATGTCTATCTGCATCCCGCTGGTATCTATTAGATCTAGATGTTTTCTTGTCATTTCTGAAAAATTTAGGTTGCAAATGGTTTTCCTCAGAGTTGATCATAAGCTATTTTTACAATGACAATAACTGATGAAAAATAACTGGACTGATCTATGTATTTATTTAGCTGTGTGAGAGATACGCATTAGCCCCTGGTTCTTACATGTATGGCAGGTACCAGTTCAGCATGTTGACCAAGGGATCTTAAAGCAGGCACTTGATATACCTGTTGTTGCTGTAGCTTCACCATCTGCAATTCGGTGAGTTTCTTATCTTGTTTCTCTGCCTTTAATTTTCTTTCGACTTTGTGAAAAATATTATTAGTTCTAACCTACAAAGAAGTATTCATAGTTCTGTTCTTAATGAGTTCTGATATTAAATACTCCCTCCGTTCAAAAATATAAGGTATTTTTAATCAAATTTCACCCCTCAATAAAGTAGGTACTTGTCTCTAAATTAATACTATCTTTTCATATTTACCCTTATTTAATAGAGCATTTTAGTCTAAAATAAATATGAAGTGATTTATTCATTAGGGGTATTTTTGAAAAAAAAATGCAAGGATTATAACTCGAAACACTAAAAATGCTTTACATTTTTAAATGGAGGAAGTAAAAATTATGGAAATTGGCCTTGTCATCTTATTTGGCCTGTAGAAATAGGTTGATGGCTGTTCTTAGGAAGCTCTATGGTATTTACCAATTCATGAATCCTGCTGTAACAGTGCTTGGAAGAATCTTATTTCAGAATCAGATTGGAATGGTTCTGTTGCATGCATTGGCGAGACTACTGCTGCCATGGCTAAAAGATTAGGGTTTGAAAAAGTGTATTACCCATCACAACCAGGCCTTGAAGGGTGACTACAGATCCAAGTTTATTTTGCTCTGTGATAATCTTTTTATTTGTTTTTGATAAACCTTCCTCCCATTGGCAGCTGGGTAGATAGCATTGTTGATGCCTTGGGATCACATGATGATTCATTGAGGTAGCATTCATGTCTGCCCTCTCCATTGCAACCCGGTGATGCGTCCCACTGCTTTTCATGCAGCGGTCATTAAACTAATGCTTCCACATATGGATGATGGATCTACTTCCTCTCCTCAGTAATGTATTTTTGAAGTTACTGACAGAGGCTATCATAAGATCCTTTCGTGAACAAATATTCTATCATGTAAATACCGTTCCTGATCACTGTCACTTTACCTGATCCATGCTAAAATGTATATTTGGTACTTGGTGAGTTGGTGCAGCTTTTTTATATTCATGCATCTAAGCTATTTGGGCATCATAAATTCTTTAATTAATTTTTTATTGAATTTAGTTGAGTGGTATGATGTCCCGAGACATGATGCTTAATTATGAAGGTCTCAAGTATCTTAATTAAAAATGAGAAGATGATCTACTTTTGCAACACAAGAGAAAGGGAGACGGATATTTCACTATTTTTTTCAATTTTATAATTAAATGTTGTTATATGTTGTACAAATTTTTTTAAAAAACAGACAACTAGATATCATTATTTATAACTTATGAATGATATAATAATTTTAAATTTTAAATTTTAAAATTTAGGATTAAATTTAGGGTAATATTGATTCCTTTTGGGTCAGAAAAAGCCCGTAATTCCCTATCGGCTTGATACGAGATGCCGCTATGCTTTGCCTCTCTGTCGGCAAATCTGGGCCTCTGCGATCTTTCTTTCTTCTTCACCTACCTCCGTGTGTTTTTCAGCCTTCTTAGTTCTTCCATTAAAAAAGGAACTCCTCTTCGCTCAAAAATTGGGGAATAAAAGGAATTCCTCGAAACAAAAGTCCAGTACTTCATTTTATGAGCAAATGGAAATTGTTATCATTTTTAAGTGATTATTAACTTCAAATTCTCTCATTCTGACCATTGTCTAATGAGTATAACTCAGTTGGGAGAGTGTTCCTGCTCTATACTGAATATCTTCCAGCTACTCGTGCCGCACCGTAATGATACATAGCTTCTATGTGACCTCCACTTTGCGTTGTCCCGAAAGGTTTTTGTATTTTGATTACAATTTAAAGTTCTTTTTTAATCTTGGTGGCTTGCGAGACCAACTGGTTCTTCCCTCAAATACTAATAATTTTCTGAAATGGCCACAACAATTCTGCTCCTCTTAACTATTGCTTACCCACACAAATAGTAGCCCTGCAGTGAAAACGGATTTGCTGTTCTTGATTCTAGTAGGGGCAGGGGAAGGCACACCATAAAGCTTGTCGCTGCCCCAAATCAAAAAGTAACAGAACAAAAGGATCTGGTTCCTTTCACGTAGCTGCGGCAACAACTAGTCCCATTATTTCTTTTCCCTTTGTCTAAAGCAAGACTTACAGAAACCCATGGACATGCCAGACTCGCCATCTTCCAATCATATAATACCTTTATCTAATGAAAATGAAGCAAAGCTAATTTTCTGATTTTTTTTTTTTTTGAAACCTTCATCATTCTTTAGCCAGTGGCCACCTCATATACTTCTCACTGTTGCCTAAATTCCAATCCCCACCACCACACCATGTGACTGAAATTAAATGGCTATAATGGCTAAATTACTCTGTGGGCACACTTGCTTAGGGACATCCAATCTGGTACACTCCCCCCTAGCGCGAAATCATCATTAGATCATGTCTAGCAATAAAACTGAAATGCGTCCTGTTGAAGCTTGTGCTGTTTATAAGTACGATTATAATAATAAATAAAGCAGGGACATAGGAAAAGCAGAAAAAAAAAAAAAAAGGGTATGTGACAGACTTGGATAACGATAACAATGATTTTGGATGCATGACCATCCAGTTTCACTTCATTAACTTCATTTCAAACTAGCCCCCACACCGATAAAGAAGCTTCTTGTGGTTCACATTATCAGGGAGATGTGATGTTTCTGCGAATAGCATGTCTTTCGAGCAGAGATTACGTTCATAGTGGGGCTTATATGTACGAGTCTCTCTGTGGAACGTGGTGCATCATCATCACTCCCCACCACCACCCAACCCATCGCATCCCTTGTTACAATGCTAAACAAGTCAGAAGTCGTTTTCTCGAAGCAAGGATGAACATCTGTGCCTAAAATCAACCATAATATTTATAACTCGTTCACTTTCTGTGAATTTCTTTCAATCTTTTTAGAAGCACTAATTGATAACATCTAAACTTGATCTATCTTTTTCGAGTTATGAATGAACTGGTGATGTACAAATACTTGAGATTCCTGCGTGTGAGAGAGACCTTGAGACAGTTGTGGGTCTGAGTGGTACAATTCTGCTTTCCAGCACAACTAAAGTAGGTTTCTTCGGTGCTCTTCGTGAAATTGTCACATAATCAGCAGTGCAAGATTCAATTATTACCTCCTGTATTGTCCCCTCTCCATCCATTGTCGGTTATCTTCTTCCCTGGTAATGATTTTTATTACGAAATGAACAGAACCTGATGACCAAATAGATCATATTAATTCTAGCAAAAGAGCGTACAAATTAGAAAATAAAACAGAAAAGTATAGCTTTCTCAACACAAGAGCTCGTACAAAGTACAAACTAAACCCTCTTTTTGTGGAGGGGTAAAGAAGAAAGAGTAAAAAAACACAAACCCATTAAGTGGACGTCATTGATCCCAAGCATAAAAAAGCAAGTCTCTTCTGTCCTTTTATCTATCTTAAAGAGTTGGAAGAGAGCGCTTCTTGAAACGGCTAACTCGTTAGGTATTAGACCTTAAAACCAAGTTTTCCATGCACACACATGGTGGCATGCAAGTGCACGGTTTTGCTTCCTATTGCATATAGTTTTGTATGACATCTTACTGAAGCCAGAAGGTATTACTGTTAGTTGCCAAGTTCTTGTCGGAAGAAATAGTAGATGCAGCTAGCAACCACACTTTGTCGCGCATACCTGTAGCAACGAAATGTGTGTTTATAAATTACGTTTCTCATTTTATATTTTTTGTCAGTAAGTCTGGATTATTGTAAAACTTAGGAGTTTCACACAATAAATCAACTGACAAGCTTGGCGTGTAACATGGAATTGTGTTGGGGAAAAATAATTAGGAAACTCTGAAGACATGTGTATTTAATTTGGTAAGTTTTTCACCACTTAAATTTCCAAATTATGCCATGTTCGTGTGATAGTACTGAGGTTGATATTGCATCTAACAGCAAGAGAAGAATCCGCAGAGTGCTAGCTGGGGCAGGAAACAAACAAACCCTGTTCCTGTTACAATCGTCATATTGATATATAATATGTTGTTCTCCACCTTCATCCTTGTAATTTACAACTGGTCAAATTAAACAATGGTTTGTTTGTTCAGTTGTTTTCTTCTTCTTTGTAACCAGCAACAAGAGATCCCACTGGCGAATCCTATTCTAAATTCGTGCCTTAATTACTCAGAGTTTTGATTAACGGCGAGTATGCCATGTATTTTTAATGAGGAAGAGAGAGAGAGAGTGAAGCTTAGGACTGCGTGATCTCCAAAATGTCCAATTTGAATCAAACATGCACAGATGGCAACAGAAATGTGTGTCATTATTAGTAGGTGTTGGAATCCTCTAATGTCAGCTTTAGGTGAAGTAATTTTTATGCATAAATGAAAAATGTATACCTGTTTAGAAGAATTTATTATTCTACATATGTAGATGATCCTTTTTACCCCCCCCCCAAAAAAAAGGAGATGGTCCTTAATATTAGAACAGAGTTTCTCCCACCTAAACTATCCCTTTATTTTATTTTTTATTTTTTGTTTCAAGCCGACTCTTTTCAGTTTTGGTTACTATTCTCTCCTTTTTATTTTTCCCCGTTTGTGATGGTTGGTGTAAGGTGCCAAATTGAATTTGTTTTGACATTTCCATTCCGCCTATTAGCTGGGTGTAAGTGATATGTGGAAATTTTTTGTAAAAAAAAATAATAAAATCCCTTTAAAAGACCTAAAAGACAATGATTGCTATGAAATGTTATAATTATTGACTTGTTTGGCATTTTAGTCTTTTGTGTAGTGACATCTTTGCCCTTATACCCTCTCTCCCTCATTCCTCTCTCGGCCTTTTCCTTTATGCTATAAGGATTCTAGAAATTGATATGCATCCTAGACAATCAAACTTTGCTCTTCATCTTAACTATTCATCAGTTTGTTTCCCTTTTTTCTAAAACCAGTCGTCAATAACATTTTTGTTAGGCAACGACCTAAAACCATCGAGCAACCATCTATGATCGATGAGTCCTTTAAGGCAATTGCCTTAGTGTCGTTAGGACAACCATTATGGCTAAGCTTGCTGTCTTTGTTGCGGCCATTAGCTTAAGGAGCGATCTCTCCAACCTTAACCAACAATGTCAACTTGGCTAACATGCTTCCTACAAGAACTCTTTTGGCCTTCCATATCCTAATATGGATCTTCACCAACAATAGTGCCTACAAAGACACTGCACACCTACTCAATGCGTCACTTCTAACCCTCCTTATTGTGTCATGCTTCTTTGTAACTTCCTTTTAAATTGATAAGCATCCCAAACAATTAAACTTTTCTCTTTCTCTTACCTCTTTGTTAATTTGTTTCCTTTTTCTAAAACTAATCGCCAACAAGATTTCTATTAGGCAATGACCTAAAACCACCAAGCAGTCATCCAAGATTGATGAGTCCATTGAGGCAACCACCTTGGTGTTGCAAAAAACAAAAAATTGTAGCCTAGCCTACTGTCTTTACCTCAGCCACTAGCTTAAGAAGTGATCTCTCGAACCCTAACCAACACAGCTAACTTGGCTAACCTGCTTCCTACAAGGACTCTCTTGGCCTTCTAGATCCTACTGCCAATCTTCACCAACAATAGTGCCTGTACTGATACCAGATGCCTCATCAGTGTGTCTCTCTTGAGCCTTATCTCCATGTCATGCTTCCTCGCCATCTTTACCAATAACGTAGAGGTTAACGGGAAGGTGTACCATGGCCTTGCCACCTCAATGAGTTATGGTTGTTTGACTATTGGGTGGACGGGTCTAGGTCAGATCTTCCTGACATGAGCAAGACGAGAGTGAGGTTGATAGACTTCATCCATGTGGTTTCATCAGTTTACGTAGCAGTGGAGATGAGGGACAAGAATGCGATGAGCTTTATGTATCTAGCACCGGCGATGGAGACAAAATAAGTCTTGGACATTGTTCCAATGGGGAGAGGTTGTAAATCTAATATCCTAATTCATATATAATTGAATATGATAAAATAAAAATTTTGTGCATACCTGAGGAATCTATTGATCGCTTAAGATAGCTCGAT